CTCTGTGGCACCCACGTTGGATCCACTTGACCGCCTCTGATATTGCATCGAGAACCGTTTTGTGCAGCGCACATACCTCGCCAACGAGCTATGTGAAATGGCGGAAATACCGCCAGAAAGATAAAAGCCATAGAAAAGCGATAATTCTAGCATATGATAACGATCAAGGTTATAAGAGAGTAGTACAAGAACACAACGTCAATCCGGATACAGCCTATCGCATTGCCAAAAAGAGAAGTTTTACTCCAAAACGAAGAGGAGGACGCTGTGCATATAAGATTACAGAACCACGAAGAGAAGCAGTGATCAAAATTGTCGAAAACAACGCAACCTTCACTCTGGCTCAAATGGAAGCTACCCTCGACCAACGCCAAGACTTGGAGAAAATTTTCATGAGCTCTATCGACCGGATTTTAGACAACGCCCTAATCACACTCAAGAGACTTCACCTTCATACTGAGGTAAGAAAATTCACTATCAAATTCACCACTCTTACTATCGCGATCTCAATATCAGAGCAGAAACTCACAGGCTAACAAAACCTAACGTCGAATATGCGCCGAATATATGCTCAGCCAAGAAAAGAGCTACCGGTACATATATGTTGATGAAACAGGCTACAATCTCTTCACGACGAGGGGAATGGGCCGTTCTCGCCTGGGTACTACGAAAGAATCCAACACTCTCCACATTTCTCGCTCTAGGTAGAAAGGCCGTCACTGTGGTTCAAAACCAAAGAGGCCGGCACGTGAGCTCCATTGTGGCTCCATCGCCTCTCAACTCCATGGCCAGTAAATTCTCACGACTCCGAGAGTTGAACTCCCTCCTGGTAAACCCTTCCTGACTTGGTTCGACAACGCACCCTGCCACAACCGAGGAGTCCACACATGCGTACAATTGGGTTTGCAAGGCCAAAAACTATCCCCAAACAGCCCAGAGCTCAACGTGGTCAAGTTCATGCTTAACGCCTTTAAAGCAGCACTCAAAGCCCATATACAACAAGTCCAAGTGATTCCACAAGAAGGCGAATCCCTATATCAAGCTCATAGCCGGATTTTATTGGCTGCAGCCCCGCAGTGTATGCAAGCAATCACTCTCGAAAATGCCAGAAATGCCTGCGCTCACGTTAAATTGGTCGTAAATCCCAAGGCAATAGCTATGGAAAACTTATAAATTACCCTTCCTACTGAGCTCCCAAGGGATTTTCCAACATTCCTACTTGCAAGCAACTATCCCATCTACGCTGATTTGGACATTTTTTAGATTTTCAAATTTTTCTCGATCTGTATACCGCCGCGGTATAAATCACAGGTATAAATGACACATACCTGTGTCAGTGGCGTCAAATCCAATAGATTGCTTGGACGCATGCTATTTGTAACAGCTTCCATAACTCAACACTGTTGAGTCAACGGGCGAGATAGAGACTGTCCGATTTTGGCGTAAGGGGAATCGTTGACTTGGTTAGCTTCCATTAAGAGATATGTGGTTAGCTTGTAGCGATCGCTTCCCGAGATTTTTACAACAGTCTTAATGGTGCTGGCTGCCTCGTTCGAATCAGCTTGGTAGTGTACCCTTGATTTGTAACCTTGATTTGTACCCTTGATAGTGGACTCAGTAAGGAAGATAGTATCTTCAAGATATCAACATGATGCTTCAGCTCTTGTAGCTGATAATAAATTTCATCATCATCGCACTTACGACAGTATTCGGGAGGAAGATGTTCAATATTGAGTGAAACTCGGAATTATGGTGATCGGCCTAATCGATAAGTTAGTTCTTAGGGCGGTCGCAGCTATCATCAATACCGCGATCGCCATTCCGACTGAGGATCAATATCTGACTCGGGTGCTCTGCAGTCGAATCTATAATTTCAAACATCGGATAAGTAAAAGCAGCACCGCAGTTTGTCCGTAGGTGAAAGCCAGTCGAAGAGTTTCAGCTCATATCCCGACTGTGCAGGTTTACATGTCTCGGCCGTTCGACTATTGGCCCGTTTCATGTACATACGTGCAGAGTATGCCAGCCCTAGCGAAGAACACGAGTCAGCTGGTGTCATTGACAATGACAATACAATGACTCATTGTACGGGGCAATGTTTTCTTCATTAACTGAGGTCTAGTGAGATGTACTTATTCACCTCAGTTCACTCAGTTGTTCGCGCCGAACGGCAGTCTCGCTTAAACCAACTTTGATACCCCTAGGTATTCACACGGTAACACTGCTACCGTAGCAGTTATTGGCCACTGCCACCTACCGTAGGTGGCAGTAGGTGACCGCCGGCGTAGGTGACCTACGCCGGCGGGTTCTGGTAGTAGAAACGGTCGTCGCCTCAAACTTCACGGCCGCTTCGCTGACCGAGCAGCGACCATACCCATTATGGACCATGACCCATGTTGCTCACAAAAAAAGTAAGGTAATCAAGGCGAGCCTCGTCTGGCGAGGCAACTTCCTGAAGTCCTACTTCTTCGAGGACGAAAAGATCAAGGTGGGGGCTCAACAACACTCTATTATCTGGAGTTAACAAAAAAAGCAGCAGCCGAAAGGCAGAATCCTAAAGTGAGCGAGAGCGTGAATCGCAAGGCAAAGCTGCCAGCCAATTATGAAACAATTGGACACCGTCCACAAGTTTCCCAACTTAGAGCTGCCTATTGGACGAGCTTTGGGTTTCAAGAGAATTGTTCGATGAACTCCATACGATGACCTGAGGAGCCACAGCAACGCACTCAACCCTAGTTTAGGGTTAATCATGCGCGCAGGGGAAGAGATCTTCTGGGGTCCCTAGAAGATCTCTTCCCCTGGGCGCATGATGAGGGAACCATTATAGTCGCCGATTGTGCACAGGAACAATGGCGAGTCTACACAAGGGATACGCGTTCATCACAAACATTTCATGCAACATCTCAGCAATATTACGAAGACAAGACTTCAACAAAGATACTACTCAAAGCTGTAAATGACAGGTGTGCTAGTTATGAAGCTAGATCATAGCAATGGTAGCGATTGCTCGGATAGAAAAAAACAGTCAATTCTGTTTATGATTCCAAATGAACGCGATTGAAGAGCGTTCATTTTCAATCGCTACCATAGCAATGGTAGCGACTGTTCGACTAACGACATCTTCCCTCCTCTCATTACTATTGATCAGGCTGAATGATAAAGACCCTGACGTGAAATGTATTTCGGAAAATTTTGGAAAATTTTATGTTTTTTTCTTAAAAATATATCAAATGAAGTGAGCAGGGGGAAGAACATAGTGAATACCCTGACGTGAAATGCATTTTGGAAAATTTTTCCGGAAAAAAAATTTTCCAGATTCCAACCAACGTTGTATTTTACTCATCCATGGTACAGTCCTCAGACCCCCGTGAGAGATACTTTGTTAAAGCCGTGTGAAAAAATATTGGAGAAATGCCCTCACCAAGAATCGAACCAGCGACCGACTATATAACCAGTTGAATGTTCATGAAATAAATTGTTATCAGCAGCCACTCCATCGTCAAGCCGTACGTGATGACACCAACTCTCATCGGTGTGGAAAAATATGCACATGGTCAGCTACATGTGTAGGCGACATTTTGTAGAAAATTTTAGGAAAATTTCAGGAAAATTTTAGGAAAATTTTGGGAAATTATCGTTGTTTCTGGACACTTCTACCCAAATTTATATGTAAACTTCTACAGTTAGTGAGGAAACTACTACACGCAGGTGAAAAAAGCGAGCATATACTCGGACACTACTAGGGGTGAGGGGAAATTTCGCGACACACTAAAACTGACGCTGTGATGGTGAAGCCTAAGGCCACTCCAACTGACGATGATATAATACAATCACAAGCAGTGTTGGTGACAAAATGGTTTTTTTGGAGGAATTTCCCGAACCGACTTCTTCCTTATCCGAGTTGATGATGTAAATCTCTGTAGTTTATAAGGGAACTCCCGAACAAAATTCCCATAGTCCAATTTCGTTGGTTTTCACTCCTTCAAATTGTGAATGTTTTCCCACACTGAGTATCACCAACAGCGAGATCATACATCACTATCTATCCTGTGAAGGTGGACAAGAACAGCTTCAAGTTCGCTCACCCTTGAATAACGAAGTATTAACGTTGGAGTAATATCTTATTTTCGTCAACATCGGGACGCTGTAAGATGCTGCTGCATCATCATTGTCGCTATCCCCATCCACCGTAGAACACGATGTCTCTAGGTTGAAGGATTCCCGCAGCTGAGCTTATGATGAAGATAGTCTACGTCTAAGGCTAAGCATGATCAGATAGCCTTGGAAGTAATGATGAGTAATGCGGTCGAAATTCTTGGTTGCAGACTAGCATTCGGGTTTGGCATAATATTTAATATTACGCCGAATTACTAAAAATTCGAGCCGTATATCTCGCGTTGAGATAATAGATCTAATGATCTATTACCGTACATTGTCTTGTTCTCTCACAAGACTGCACGCTATAACATTAAACCTAGTGTAGTGTTATCTCAATGGGTTTCAAATCACCAACAACCCTACTCCCGTGGTCCGAAGACTAACAACTCAACCCATCCGTGTATGAACAGCAGCACTCATGATGATGAATATGATGATGAATTCACAACGGGCTGGTAGATCGCCTATAACACACATAACTTTCTAACGCCTCCACTTCAAGTGCGACCACCTTTGTCTAGTCAGCCGCAACCTCTTCAGCACTTATTCAGCGGCCTGAAGTAGATAGAATATCAATGCGAATCTTCAATGCGCATGCGTGCAGATTCTCATACCACTCTATCCATAACATACAGCAGATTCAACGATGCCTCACCTTCTCCTCAGCGGCGGGAGCTTCCTCCTTCGCACCTTCTTCAGCTGCAGCCTCCTGAAAACAGATACCAAAATTCTACCATTTCCTCGAAAATATTAATCAAATATAAACCTCAGCGAACCGCGCCAATTTACGACGCCAACACATGAATTTTCTCCCAACAGTTGAGGCGATCAAATGAGATCAATCATGTTTTACAACACTGAAGCGACCAACTAGGTCTTCGTGACCAAGGGGCGGAGCTCGCTTGCCCCGCGTCTACTGATTCGATCAATCGATTTTACGGAGAAGTGGGGGTTATATTGATCTCTGTGAAGATAGAATGGACACATCGCTCTCTTTAAGTGAGCTCACTATCATCGATGAGAAAACTCACCACTATAGGGCATGGAAATATTTCACACGCACCGAATCACAAGCCCGAACGAATCTTACAGCAGCAGCAGCAGCAGGCTCCTCCCCGGCATCCTTAGGGGCTTCCTCCTTCTCATCGGGCTGAAAGTCACCATGACCGCGCGCCACAAAATATCGTATGCTTTCAACTGCTTACACTCTCTTCTGGCTTCTTATCTTCAAGACCTCCAGTTTCATTCTGAAATACCACAACGGTTAACAACCTCATCCATACACCGCAGCACCCAGGTTCGATTCCACCCTTCTCCATTTTCTCACCTTTTCCGGTTCATTATGAGCTTCTTTGCAATCACCCTTACATTCCTCTCCAGCTGGTTTACCTACGATAGTACATCCCAATCTCACTCACTCATTCATCTCAACCACCCCAAGCACGAATATCGACTCCAATATATATTCATACATCTACATATTGATGCTCGTTGTTTCTCTACCATCGATCAATACAAACAAACTGATCATCTCCAACCACAACAATCGTCCTCTCAGTAAAACTCACCTTCGCAACACTCAGCCGACTGGCCCGCAGTCTTGGAGTCCTGACGACGCGAACATGACCATACTCATATATGTAACTGTTCTGCTCACCTCCACAGAAGCAGCCTTGACAGCCTCATCAGCGTTAGGGGCAGAAGCAGAGGAAGATGCGCCGCAACCCATAGTTTATAAGAAGTGACCGAAAAGGGGGATAACTTGGCGAAACCAAATTTCCACACGAAGCCATTTATCAAAACAATAGCCTTTCAGGAGCATACTATTTGAATTTGCTCAAATAGCTGAGCTCCTTTCACTCCTGAGATCTCCTGTTCAAACATTCCCTATATGACGATATCGATATATATTCGATTATATAATATTATGGTATACGTTAATATAAATAATACTAAACGAAGGCATATAGTATACATTAATATAGAATATTATATGGCATCGATCTCTGGGAAGGCCTGCATCGAAGACCTCTCAAAAGGCTAGTCACATAGGAAGGGGAATGCCAGACCCTCAACACAAACCAACAGCAGTGCATGAACTGCATCCCTAATGAAGGGAGCAAAATATTCCCTGCAGTCGGCGGAAGTAGGCAACTATAATAAATACCCTCGCACGGAATTGAACCCACGACCTGTTGCGTGTAACCGTGTTGGAGAATCTCGACTCAATACCATAACATCTTCCGCGCCAATTCCGTACCGTGGAAGCCACGAAAGGTCTGATTGACGTCATATCGGCTGATCAACGGTACGTAACTGCTGGAAGAAATTAATAAACAATAAACGCTTCGCTCCGCTAACGTCCACTACCATAAGCGCATATTAAATCAAACCATGTAGGCTGAGGTGATAGTCTCAATAAAATAATAGTACAAACAAACAGACGGCCAAGGTGCAAAAACCAAGTGATAGATTCGAACCGGCGACCTCACGATAAACAACACTCCGCTCTACCACTATACCACAACCCTACCCTACCCAATCTTCATCCAGAACTCAGCCACGTGTTGATTGAGCATCTCCACATACGCTGATCGGCATTCTTTATACTTCATCAACCATTCACATAACTGTTCGTCCAGAAGTCTGCCCAGACCCCTACCACGACAATCCAACTCATACCCACGTCGACCTAATCACACAAGCATAAATACAATAACAATCTAGAGGGTGATTTTGATACACATCGTTTCTGTAGATCACAATGATAATCTGGCAGTCGCCAGGAAAATTGACAGAACCGTCTTATCGCACTGCGTTCGACTACGACGACCCAAAACTTTCCCCGGAGTGGGAAGGTATACACATGTATATACATGGTATACACTCGGAGAGAATTCAGGATAGTTCTGATTGGTTTCTGTACACAGCTACCAAAATTCGTATAACTAGTGAGGAAACTTCTGAGCTCAGCTGGGGTGAGCGAACACCGAGCCTCTCAGTAAACCAAGTGGCATTGAGCCATGTGAATGCGGTCTCACATGGGTTAAACAATAAAGCAACCCTCGCCGCAGATGATCGACCTTCAACGGAGGGAATACAAACATCTATCTACATTCACGCACCCCAAAACAGGGCAAGCGATGGAAAAATAACCGCGCCGGGGTTCGAACCCGAGACCTCACCTCTTGGGACAGGATACATAACGCTCTTAGCTGTCGTGAAGAGTAGTATCATAGCATCTCGACTAACGGCATCATATCTATACAGGCAGGAAGCCAATACAACAGGCGACTGCTCCTTAGGCGCATTGCGACCATCGTGTAGTATCTGCAGGCGACCTGCAGAGGCATATCTCAACTACGGCGCGACTTACACATAGAGAAGCACAGTTGATCGTCGAGCCAGAATATCTTCCTCGCTCACCAACTTCTTTCAACTTGCATTCTGGGAAACCCTCAACGAACATCGACGCACCGAGGCAATTACGTATATCATATACGACCTCATTCACCTGACAGTCGAACGAACTACTATCATCATATTAGCGAGAAAGCGCCAGCCAGGGATCGAACCCGAGACCTCCTCTCCAATCGCTCACCAAATACAGTTGCCTCTCTCCTCGACCCAAGTCCTCTCCGCAGACCTTCAGACTTATCCGTTTCTCATCGAGCTCGAACTGAACAATTTACGGTATGAACTATCCACTAGATCATCCCCACCTGTACTGAATATCCAGGCAATTTCTCCCACAGTGTTTTCCGTCCAGCCCGACAATGTCTCGCCAGCTCCCCAATTCCATCTTCGTCAGACCAAAATTTCTTCCTCGGCGTTATCTTGCTACTCCCCGGTGTATCTTCGCACAGCGAAGATTTTCGAGCAACTTTTGGGCTTGCTTTTTTCATAGACGACCGAGGGGAACGCTGCTGAGTCCCTGAGTCCAAATATACACTCACAAAGAATGAAGTTCACCTCTACTCACGTGGGGCCCTCAGACGACCACTCCCCAGACTTAGCCGTTTTCGCGCCTCGATCGCCGCTTTCCGTGGGGAACACCGGCGAGCCATGGTAAACTTGAACGGTTAAAACCCTACACAAGCAAACGTAGTGCGTATCGTATTATTTGAAATGTTGAAGCCCTAATGCTTCATAGTAGAGCACTACGGACAATTCACCTTAACATTTCCCTCGCCACACACGACCATCAGTTGCTGTCCAACCTACCCACGAGAGACCAACTCCTTTATTCGATGGGAGACTGCTGAGAGATAACCAAATCAACTCTACTAGAGACAGTTGACAACTTGATAATTTGCCAGTCTCGTACGTCTCCCGTCTCCTGAACGGTTAGTCGCTTCTGATGCTATTTTATCTCTGACTGAGTAAACGATCTGAGTCGTATTGATCACGAGACACTCCACTGTGCGATCTACTCGAATTCAGGTTAGCTACTATGAGTGATATTGAACTACTCGTGTGAGTTCCGATCGATGGAAACATTTTCGATGTTGCGTTTGGTGCGACAGGGTCAGGGTGGCCAAGATCATGCAAGAGAGCAAGATTCCTTCAAATTTGGGCGACAAGTCCTTAGTGAGGGGCGTCTTATTTCTGGTTTTTCTGGTATTAGTCCGTAGGGCACGCGTTATCGACATTCGGGATCCCGACTCCTTACATCATGCTCAATAGACCTCTCCTGAGCTTCACGACCCCTTCCAGGATTGGATTTCACATGTAAACCTCGATCCTAGGAGCGCTTATGAGATTCGGGAGAGGAATACTGAACATCCCAATAGATCCCGACTAGGAGGAGTGATGTTACGGGAAGGCCACGACGCATAGGATATCAGGTTGAGTGCAACAGTTTGGGAATGGCTTGAATATTCCCTATCCTGCTGAAAAATGAAGGGAGCTTCGAAACCTCATCAGCGTTTAAACACGCAGATGAGTCGAAAACCAATATCAAATCCGGTCAATATCCTCATGAACGATATGAGTTCGATCCCGGTCGATCAAGATTGTGAGAGTCGTGAAGTATAACGGGAAATATGA